CAAAGAAGATTCAACTTCATTGGTTAGTGAGCCACCAATTGTGCAGAGTTCAAAACGTAGCATACTTCCGTGGAGAAAGAGAAAACAAATTTTCAGATCCCCTAAAGCTAAGGGAGAGCCATTGTTGAAGAAGGCTTATGCTGAAGAAGGTGGGGATGATATAGATTTTGATCGACGACAGCTCAGCTCAGATGAATCCATCTCTTTTGGAGTGAGTGCAGTTTTCGTATTTGCCTTAGATCTTTGGTTTATTATAAGTTTTAATCGTTTGTAGTGTAATTGTGCATTAGCTTCTGATTGTAACTAACTAAAATGTTATTTTCTAGTGGCCTAAGAGTGAAGATGATTTGGCAGCAAATCGGCCATCAATATCAGAATTCGGTGATGATAGCTTCGCTGTTGGCAGCTGGGAACAGAAAGAAATTGTTAGTCGCGATGGACAGATGAAGCTTTATGCAGAGGTTTTCTTTGCTTCCATTGATCAAAGGAGTGAGAGAGCAGCTGGTGAAAGTGCCTGCACTGCTTTAGTTGCTGTTATTGCTGATTGGCTTCATAATAATAGTGGAATTATGCCTATCAAATCTCAGTTCGACAGTCTAATCAGAGACGGCTCACTTGAATGGAGGAAACTCTGTGAGAATGAAACATATAGAGAAAGGTTTCCTGACAAGCATTTTGATCTAGAGACTGTTTTGCAGGCCAAGATACGCTCTCTTTCTGTCCACCCTGGCAAGTCTTTTATTGGGTTTTTTCCACCCTGAAGAAACCGTTGATGGAAAATTTGACTTTTTACAAGGTGCAATGTCCTTTGACGGAATTTGGGACGAGATCAGCCGTTCTAGTTTGGATTGCTCTAGCTCTGGTGATCCTCATGTTTACATTATAAGTTGGAATGACCACTTTTTTATTCTCAAGGTCGAGCCTGATGCTTACTACATCATTGACACTTTGGGAGAGAGGCTGCATGAAGGATGTAATCAGGCTTACGTGTTGAAATTTGATCGAAACACCAGGATCGTCAAACTTCCAGCCAACTCCCAAGCATCGGATGAAAAAGCTGCCATAGATCAACCTATGTCAGGAAACGGGCCCGAACCAAGAAATGGACCTGTTGAGCCAAAAGTCGAAGATTCCACAAAGAGTGAAGAGGAGGAACATCTTTGTCAAGGGAAGGAGGTTTGCAAAGACTACATCAAGAATTTTATGGCAGCACTTCCTATAAGCGAACTGCTTGCAGACCTCAAGAAAGGCCTACTGTCTTCTGCCCCACTGCACCGTCTTCAGGTCGAGTTTCACTACACGCAGTTTCTCTCTTCTCCCTTGGCTGAGGTGCCATCAGCTGCTGAAGTAGTGGCTGCAACTGCAACTGCAACTGCAAACTTACCACATGGAAATGTAGCAATATCTGAGGTTGCCGCTGCATAGAATGGTGCCAGTGCTTAGAATGGTGTATATCTTAGCTAAGGTTTTAACTGCACTAACTGCTTTTTCCGTTTTTTCGTGTATCTGCTTTGTATGGGTTCAAACGGGCTCTCAAGAAAAGCAAAGATGAGCTCGTGCGAGTCTTTTCCTAATGGCTTATTTTTCTGCAAAGCTCTTTAGGTTGGATTTTCTCTTGTTGCTGTAGGAAATGGAACTACATCTCCTTTTGTAATCTTCTCGGCACAACTTTTTATTAATCTTGTAAAGGGTCAGTTTGGAATGATAACTAGGCCTTTTTGAAACTGATATTCGAACTCTGAACTTTAGATACCTCTAATGTATTCTTTTCTCAACGTTTTGTTACACTTATGTAGCTTAAAATGATGAGATATTCATTTATTACTTGAATCTGGTTTCACCTGTACTTTCTGTTCTTTTCCCCCTTCTTTTTTGGTGCATTTTCCCCCAAAAATTTGTGGTCGGTACTTTATCTTTTGGGAGCACCATATTGTAAAAGTGTTACTCTTTTTTCTGGTGGTGGTTGTGGTGGGGTGAACACTGAACAGGTGAACTTTACACTATTTTATGGCAAAGTGCTTCTTTATTTTACCTAGTTAAATACAAAACACAGTTAGGGTTATGTATAGTATGGTAAAGTAGCGAGCATTAAGTAAAAACATCGATCAGTGTGTGATTTTGTTATGCATATAGTTACCTCGGAACAACTGATAGCGAAACCCATGCTGATACATGAACTGTTACAGCACAGCTTAGTGAGTATTCTTGTTCTAGAATCTGGTGGTTATAGTAATAATTTGAGGAAGTGGTGATGAATGATGAATAAACCCCATAATGTGGGGTTGAAATGTAATTTCAAAATAAAAATTGTGAGCAGTGAGCTGTAAAGCTGAAGCTTCTTTTCCCCAAACAATAACTTTTTTGACAAACTATTCTCCTTTTTACCAGATTAGATTACAATTGATTTCTTTTATGTTTCCCGTTTACATAAAATCACAAAATTATTGTAGTGCTAAGTTAGGAAATTGCATGTTACTGTAGATTGGATTGTTGGAATACAGAGAATATTTCATTTTGTGAACCAAACAATGCACGTTGAGTATATTCCCTGCACCTCTTGTGCAAATCTTGTGGACTGATAATTTCAATGTGCAATTCGGCTTTTTCTAGTATTCCGGCACTCAATGGTGCCTTGAATTGTAGAGTTGTGGAATCAATGATTAGTTAAGTTGAATCCATTGTTTTTTATTTTATTTTTATAATTATTTTTATAGGTACTACTGATCTTTTTTAATTTCAACAAATCTAAAATCAAGTCAGGCCAGACTTCAAATAAGCTAAAACTCTCATATTAGGTGGTCTTGTATACTTGTATTCCGAAGTTTTGAGCTTGAAACCTAGTTTTAAGCTAGAATAAATTCATTACTAGCTAATCCAAGTACATGTTGGTAATTACATTGAATAACTAAACATTAACGTCAACTTTTTCATATTATGATCATCTTATTACAAAATTTTAAAAAATAACAGTGGTAATCTGAACTTGTGCGAGGCTTTGGTCATCAAATTACACATTATCCTACTTTAAGTTGAACTTGTTAATTTTAATATCATAATTGTTGAGGTCAAAACTCTTAGTATGCGAATTTGGTATACCATTTCACTTCGATAGGTCAAAGATGGTAGGGAGGAAGAGGGAAATTATAAGAGACGCTCCCAACGTGATTGATACATGCATGGTTTGAATCCGAAACCTCAAATTCGATAACCAAAGTCTTATCCCCTAACCTATATTACTCCTTTCGTCCCTATTTGTTTGCCCCATAAGCAATATATGCTTTATCAAGAATTGAACCAAAAAATTTCAAGTGGATAGGGTGTATTTGTCGTTTTCACTTTTATGAGTTTATGCAAGTAAGTTTAGTAGTGGGGACATGTTATTATAGTAGAAAAGGGGCAATTTTTAAAGGACATCCCAAAATAGAATATAAGACAAATAAATAGAGACAGAGGGAATATATAACAATATAACATAATTTTATCCAATTTTATATCAAAACAAAATCTAATAATAGGCAATTGAGATTTAATTGAAAAATAAAGTGACTTTAATAATCTGAGACATCATTTGGACCCAAAACTAGTTCAAAATTTGAAAAATCGTACACTCGTCTAATTGCAGAGTATCCAATCAAGCTAAATAAATGGCATGCAAAGTAAACTAGACAAGTAGAGACGGTGGCGTAGTTGACACTACCAATGTTATCCATTAAATGCTACCAAAAATATGCGAGTTTGGCAAGATCTTTTCTTGGCTGTCCATATCTTTCATATGCTGACTACATACAATAACTATATGATAATATTGGTCTCATCAATGCGTAATCTCTGGTCTACTTTACTTGACCCGTTAATGAGTTGGACACTTTGAAGTCTTCACATTTTAATGTTCACTTGTGCATGAGAAAAAAAAAAAAGTTATTACTAGACATATGAACGTTCAAGTGTATGGTATGGTACTATCATTGTCACCGCATTAACCGGCGGTAACATCACTTTATATAATAATAATAATAATAATAATCAATAAGGTCTTGACGTAGTGGTTAAGATTGAGGGTCTGTGTACGATAGATCACAAGTTTAAATTGTCTTATCTCTATTTGTAATTTGTATTTCCTATTTATCGAATAACTTTTAGAAACGGAGGGAGGAGCATATTTAACTAACAATTTTACATTTGTTCAAATTAAAAAAAAAAATAAAAAAAAAAATGAAAAAGCTTGGCATCGGAATTACTTCTATTACTTTGTGAGTTGTGACTACGTATTTGGTCTAATATGCTATCCATGCATGCATACAGTATTAAAGTAGGAAAGCATTTTTCGTTCTTACAATCCTACTATAATCAAGTTCAATTATGTGCCATCTTCTTGATCTTATGAGTTATGACCTATCTGCAAGTACATGAACCTTGTAAAATCAACAAGCCAAGAGGCTAGTAGTTCACAAGTTAGTACTCCTAAATAATATGGAGTACTTTGTATATATGGTGCTTTTAGTAGGTTGTACTATACGTCTATACTTGTGTTTGATAGACACTTAACTTATGGATATATTTCACATTGTACATCAAAAGAAAATAATTGTGTGTATAGAAAAACATGATATTATATAATAACAAGAACTAATATTATTTTTTTATAAATTGCGACAAAGTTAAGATAATTTCTTTACATGCATTTTTTTTGGGTTTTATGTTTTAAAATAATTTTAATATGCACTATTTGATATTATTGTCTAGCATAAAACTTAGATATACTGGTAATTAAATTATTGTGCATTGTGTGTCTTAATTACTAAGTACTAATTAATAGTTATCAGTCTTATCACCACAATAATGATAGTGAAACTCTAAAACTGATTCCATTCTGATTTTAGTTAACAATAGTTCCTACTTCCTTGGCATCATTATATACAAACAATCAAAGCAGCACAATCTAGAAATAAGACAACAATAATAATGTTAACATAGTTTCTACTAATTTTCTAGCTATTTAGTTAATAAGAGCAAGGTGGACACTTGATCAACCCATTCTCATTACACTTAGTACATCTACCAAACAAACTACCCTTATCATCTTCTTGATCACCTTTGTAAATCTTGCAACTTCCATTACAATCCGAGCACAACAAAAACCGGAATCCACCACATTGGCAGCACTTAACATCCGAGCTCAGATCACTTACCGGTATCCCTTGCAGCATCTTCTTCAGCATTCCGGCCTCATGCAGCGTTAAGACTTCATCAGCCCCACCAATGTACCTTCCTTTGATAAAGAGCCTAGGGGGAAGAACGCGATCTTCTAAGACTTCCCAAAGCTCATCCCTAAACTTGAGGTGCATTGAGACATCCCTCTCAGAGTACACAATTCGAAAGCTATCTAGGAGGAACTTGATAGCATTGCAATCTTCATATGTTTTTCTAATTCCTCTTAGGCTTGTTGTGTATAACACAACTTTGTCACTCCCTTCTGGTGGACATATCTCTTGAAAATTAGTCAAGTTTTTAGGACACTCGACATCTTCTTCATCTTCTTGGTCGCTTGTTCTGGTAGGAGAGGAGTTAGAAGACGAAGAAGAGGATGATGATGATGATGATGAAGATGATACCATTTCAGGCATTAAATCATCAAACCCGCATTCACAATCTTCAAATACATCAACCTCTTTGTTGGAGTTTAACAAGTCATCATCACTTGATATGATATGTCCATTATTATTTTTGCTTCCTAAAGCAAGACTATTGTTTGTAATGTCTTCTTGCTGTAAGTTGTTTGGTGGCTTCTGCAGGTTTCGACTACTAGACAATCTTTCTGGGGAATCGCGGTAAACAGATACAGGTACTGCATTCTGTTTTGAAGTGTAGATTGATGGGATGGATGTAAATCTCTTAAGAAACTTACCTTTGATAATGCTCTTCATCTCTTGTGAACTTATTTTGTTTCTTCCTTCAAAATGAAGGTAATGAACAAAACTGAGTCGAAAAAAAGACGTAAAATTGGTACTTAAGTTTATAGAACTGAGAAAACGACTGATAAGGAGAGAAACATATACATTACAAAGATTGGTTTTCATTTTGAAATTATTTTCTTTCGTTAGTTAGGAAAGTGAAAGGGATGTGATTATTATCCCTTTCCTTTTGGTTTTCTATGATCAGAAAGTCTTACTATAAAAACTATTGTTCTTTTGCTTTTAAAAGTTTCTGATGATAATTGACAGTTTTTAACTAGTAGTATTAGAGAGTAGAGACTAGAGAGCATCTTCTTCAATTCCAACCCAATTGCTTGTTGTGGGGGCCAGGCCGTGGCCAATCATGTAGCGCTACCGTGTCAATCATACCGATGTGGCGAGCTATGATTGGTGGGTTGATGAGATAGATGTGAGGATTTTAGTTGTGGTTCATAGCAAAAATTGGGAGACAAGGTGTGGTAAGGGGTCATGATACATTTGCATGTGGGAAAAAGCTTGTGTTCCCTCATTTCTTCCACTCTTTTATATGATAAGAATCATCCACATAAAAGTTTAAGTATGGTTTTCAAACCTTTTTTTGGTACTCAGTCTGCCTTTTATTATCCTTTCTTAACCACCAAATCCCATCAAAAGGGTTTTTTTTTATCACCCATTATGACTTTTCCTAAAGTCCCAGCACACATTGTGACTTCCCAACTGAACCAATATTTGATCCATTATGCTTTCTTTATAAACTAATTTTTCAAAATGGTGCAATCAGCAATAGTTTTTAGAGTAGCTTTGGGTTATGCACTAAACCGAAATACCAGTAAATTAATACGTACTCCTTCGTAGGACACTCTAACTTGCATTTTGGATTATTGTTTCACAATTGTTAGAACTGACTCAACACGACATGACATGACACAACATGACATCACAACATGAACTCGACCACTAAACTTAAAGAGAGAAACTTGAACGCGAAGCATCACAAACCCGACCTAATTAAATAAATTTATCATATTGTGCAATAATTTTATGTTTTACATAAGATTTATATATTTGATGAACAACGAACCTAAAATCAACACAAAAGGAAACACAAACACGATTACACGACCCCCCAACTTAACTGAAATCCCAGCTGTAATAAGAACCAATTGGGTTATGTCATGAAGTTCCGGGTTAACCCCATCTTCCTCAAATTCTATGAATGTTGATCAAATGAGCAGATAAAATAACAAATAAATAATGCACATTGCTTAATTATATCATGTAACTACTAATTTTTTTTTATAAGTAGCAAATAAACAATTACTAATCACTATTAATGTGGCAACCAATTTTAGATATAGTAGATAGCTATATATCACCTTGTATACAGAAACAGGATATAAAGTGCTTTGTATGTACTTCAAACTTGTATCAATTCTGTAAGAAACATACCAAGTATTTACATAATTTTGTCAGCAAGATAGGTTAAGAAAGTTTGTACATAAATTTGATTTTTACATCAGAAAGTTCGCAGCCATAGATGATCCAAATCCAATGCTAAAATCAAAAGCAACACAGGATAGTTGACGCTTGTTTGCATCCAGGATCTTCATCTTCAGAGTGTAGGAACCCTGGTGTATAATCACATTATTTACAGGGTTAGAAATGATAAGAGACCAAACTGTAATGATGTAAAATTTTATCAAACTACCATCCGCTATTGTTAATAAACTGAAAAGAACAGAGTACAAGAGAATAGTTCAATGGTGATGCACCTATCACCCAAGGATTTGGTCCCACAATTAATCCTCCCCAAGGACGGAAAGCTTTACCCATATTGGCTATTGCATACTCACGAGTACACACAGTTTTGTAAAGGTTTTTGGCTGGTAAAACAAGTCTCTAGTAGACAGTGAACAAGTGGAAATTGAACATTCATACGAAAAACTGATTATTTTCCTTTGTTCGAGTAGATTAAAGTCCTTTAACAAAGCACCTATTCTAACTAACTTACACAGATAGCAATGTAAGTATATTAACCTCACAGTTAAGATTGCCTTTCTTTCCTATAAATATAAAATCTTTGGCTTACAAACAGTTTATGCATGCATGCCAAAGTGGAATTAAACCTTAACATTCATGGCTTTCATTTATCTAGAGGAAAAGGCTTTGTTCTCCTCAACTTATTGAATTTTTTTTAAGCAAAATTATTTATTTTAATAAGTTTTTTTTTTTTTCTTCTTTTTTTTTTTTTTAATTTTTTTTTATAAAAATTCCGTGTAAGAAAGTTTCTTACTTCCTCCGTTCTTGTTTACTTGACCCGCTTTAACTTTTACACTATTCATCACCCCTCCTTTGACCGTGTTTTGTGAATAATATGTAAGGAAAAACATATTTATATTGGATCATTGAATTCGTCTCAACAACTACTATCATAATATATAACTTTTATATTTTTTAATTATGGAGAATTGAAGTTATTAACCGTTAAAGTTTTGCATTGGCAAGCGTGATAAAAGAAACAGGTCAAGTAAAAAAGAACAGAGGAAGTATTAATCAATTAATATAATTCTTTTTTTTTTTACAAAAAAAAAAATCAGCAAAAAAAAAACAAGTTCAGCAAGATACTTCCTCCGTTCTGTTAATATTGCAACAAGGAGAAAATTACGCATCTCAAAACACCTTTTATATGCTAAATATCTATAATTGTGTAAGAGTAAAAATTATAAAAAGTTGATATTGTGAAAGTATTTTATGAGACGAATCCAAGAAGATCCCACTTGACTATATTTTGCTTAACGTATAACTCATATTATATGGTCAAACAAGAGTGATGAATAGTGCAAAAAGTCCATTGTTGCAATATTAATAGAACGGAGGAAGTACAAGTTAAGCAAGAACATAGCCTAAGTTGTGAAATTGAAAAAACTATTGGTCATTCTCTTTATATACAAGTACAATTACAGTTTTTCACTTAAGATAGGATAATAAATAGTCTTGGAGTAAATGGTAATAAGAGAAAAACACCAAAAGTTAAAAGAGTAACAAAATTTTACCAAGGGAAGTGGTCAATCATTCAACGAGGGAAAAAGAAAGACTATGAATACAAACTAATTTTGGATATGAAGATTGAAAAAACAATATTTCTGTTAGTTAAACGTCCAGGTCGTCCACATGTTTAGTGTTTGGAAGGCATTAAAATATGGAAATATGAGGAAAAGTAAACCTATGAAAATCAGTAGAGATGTACAATAATATTTCCTTTATTCACTTTTACAGGCAATTGGTTGACATTAACATTATTCACAAACCTCCATTTTACCATCATTGGTGAGTTATATGTAAGCAATATATCGTCAAATATTATCTTGTTAGATTTGTCTTATTGCATATTTTCAAAATATCAACATTTTATAATTTTCATTTTTTTTGAAGAAATTATTATTTTTCTTATTAATGATTAAATATTTTTATATTATTGGGCAAGTTATTGTAGAGGAAGTAAATATTTGTGTAATCCACCTATTTATCGAAGTTCTACTCACTTTTCTGTTACATCCAAATTTTAAAATTATACTCACATTTGCTGCCTTTTTTTTCCCTTCGTATTTATTTAGTTATTATTTTTCCTCTTTTACGAGTTTTACCCCTTCAATGAACCATAAAATGAGACCGAATTTACCTATTCCTCCCCAAATAATAAAAAAATGCAGATTGGCTTGGTTACCAAAGCATGACTATAACTTAGGAAGACATTTAAAATTTCATTTATTTGGTTTGTTATTGTGAAAAACTATGAAAAAAACAGTAGGAATTGATATTTTGTACTTGTAGTTTAATTTTAAACAGAGCACAGGTGGGGAGGAGGGGAAGGGGTAGTTATGAGTTTCTTAGTTTTCAATCAATTCTAAAAAGAAAACTATGGGGAAAAAAATAAATCAAAGTGCTTGTTTGGTTGCAATGGGAATTAAATTCCTATGGTAATTGTTGTGGTTCCAGCCCAATTGGCAATATTCATATATTGCTTTTGGACTCATGTATTATGGGCTCTTTTTTATGGACTTGTTAAGTCTTATTTTTGGTCCATATTTTGCATGACATTTGTGACTTCCCTTGGAAGCTTTAGTTGGGGTAATTTTGTGGCTAGCAAGTGCCCAAGTGAGCAGCAAGGAGATGATCATTCATACACACAAAATAGAGAGAAAGTGAGGGTTTGAAGAAGGGCATCCAACTTCGGAGTTTTTTGGACAGCTTCTGGTAAACTGGCTGTTGCCGGAGTTTCCACCGTTGGATCGTGCTCAAATTTTGACAGCTTACTCCTGACATTAAGGACTTCATTTTGGACGGTTGGATCGTCGTTTTGAGGTCTGGTTTGGTCAGAATCTGCTTCGGACAGAACTGCTGTCTTTGGGTGAATTCTACTCCTTTTGCTCTCTAATTTTGATATCTTATTGTTTGTTGTTGTTGGTGGATTGTTAAACCTTTTGTAGACTGATTTGGGTTTATTTTACCCTCAATTATCAATAAGAGAAGCTAGGGTGGACTCCTTAAACGGTCCCGTGGTTTTTATCCTTCACATCGAAGGGGTTTTCCACGTATAATCCGTGTGTGTTGATTATTGTTGTTTCTTCCGATTATTGTTGGTATTGTTGTTCATTTGCTACTGCTATATTGCTGTCTTGGTATTGCTATATTGGTTGTGTGAGTAATTGGTTTGATTGGATTGAATTTGAGTTGATTGTCTTGTGTGTGACATAGTGGGTGTCGTAGTGACCCCTTTCCGATCCCTACAGTAATTTTACATTTCTTTTGAAGTAGCTCCCTTCACATATTTTCAAGAAATTTGCTAAAACTTGTTTGGTGGACATAAGGAAATTTGAATGACTGGGACGGGGTTCAAGTATTTATCTTCCCATGACATAACCAGATAACAACGGATCTAAGCAATTGTGAGGAATACCAATTGCTTATGTCAAAGAAGTGCAACCAAACAAGCACTAAGAATATTACTCATATTTGCTTGATTTAACTTTTGCACAATTCCTTTGCAACAATCAAACATGGTAATTGAGGAAATTTCTCATTCGTATTCAGATTCACCCATATTTGCTTATTAAATTTGGGTTCCAAACACAATACAAATTGCAAAAACCAAGGAAGTCATCATATCTAAGGTCCGAGCTATAAAATACTTAATATTGACGTGAAGATTGTGGAGAACATGGCCTCATTATGGATAAGGGTAGAGAATACCTAGTCCTCCTTAAGCCTCTACATAAATATTAAGAGACAATATGTTTCACTGCCAAATGTTAGTGATTAGTAGAATCTCTATCAAAGCTTGTTAATAAATCAGTTCTAACAATCATTTAATCAGGCATATAATTAAGTCAAACACAATCAAACCAACATTGACTATTTTATACAGAAGTTTATAAATAAATAATTAAAGAGTATACAGAAGATAGCTCACCGGTGGAGTAAATATTGGCAAAACCTGGGAATGTGAAATTACAAAATCACCAGTTGAGACTGGGCAAGAAGTCTCAGTACATAAATCACGGGTTTCACTGTGCACATGCCATCCAAAGTATGCAACATCAAGGTCCAATTTCCCACCGGAAATGGCATTTCCTGAGGATATAATATGACCAAAATGATGTTACACAGAAGTAAAAATAGATCTCATCAGAGGAAAAGGCATACTAATTACAAAGAAGTACAATACAATGGCACTAAAAAAATCTCACATTAAACATTAGTTTGTCATGATTATAAATTATAATGCACCCCCTCCGTTCTTTTATGTTCTACTCAGTTACTATAGATTCACAATTTTAAAAATATTGAAAAATGTGAGTAGGTGTAAGATAAAGTAAAATAAGGTAGAAAATGTAAGAAAGGTGGGTTTGTGAAGGAAAAAGGTGAATAAAGTAAGAGAGAGAGAGAGAGAGTATGACAAGGTGTAATTAATTAATTATTGTAGATTTGAAAGAGTAAGATCGTAAAAGGGGTATGCCAAAAAGATTAAAATAAAGAGAATAAAGCAAAGTGAGTAAAGCAAAAAACGAAAAGTTTAAAATGAGAAGTGAGTAGAACGAAAAAGAAAGGAGTATAACCCAAAGAAAACAATTGAAACTGGTAAAAAGACCAACTAACCTACAGAAATATAGCAAAATTTGGTGGCTAATAAGTTAGGTTTTACATTGGATCAAAATTGAATCTACACAAGAAGTGCAGTGAAAACAGATCCAACGAAATTTCAGCTTCTGGATGAGAATCATAGTAAGTTAATGGAAAACTTTAATAAAGGTAAACACCTATTTACCTGGCCTTTTCAATGGGATACTTAGAAGATAGCTGCATCTACAGAGTACCTTACACATGATTTTCGGTAAGTAGTGCACTTAGTGCTTCATGATACATGACTAGTGACTACTAGTTCAGCCATCCTCACTAAAAAATGCTAATTATCATATCCTCACTTAAGGAAACCTCTACGGCTCTAGCTCTACCATTACAACATAATAAATCCAATCTACTTCCAACAATTCTTCCAAGAATCAGTATCAAAGATTAACTTTGCCCACTTAATCAAGCTTATAAGTTAAATATAACCATAATTGTCTTATTAGTTGAACAGAAGTCCTTAATTTTGGATATGTTGCAACCAGCAACAGCAACCTTCTCTTTTATAATTCCTTTGTTTTTTAATACATGCATCAATTTGACTTTTCACTATTTATATACTAGACCACATTTCATTACTAATATACTCGTATGTGACAATAAGTGTCATTATTGTACTGCTGTTGTGTTAATCTCACATCTACTTTTCACACTTGTCAATGTGTATTCTCATTCGTTAATATCTTTGATTATCAGCAATTAATGATTATAAAAAGTAGATATGCTGCAACTAATTACAAACAAATGAAGTATTTCACAATACAAACAATTATTGTTTCTCAAAATTGTATTTAAGTTACGCATTGGAAATTGTGAAGTCAAAATGAAGCATATGTATTGAAATACTGAGTAAGTATAAGAGATTGAAAGCTCCAAGGGAGTGCATCCCTGTTCCGGGAAATTTATGGGCCCTAGGCATAATGTAAGAAAAGGGCTCCTTACATAATAATTTTTTTTACACGCAATAGCTTTAAATATAAGACAATGAAAATAGCTTATATTATTTGAATAGTAAGTCTCCATACACATTACTGGAGTAATTACTTTGCATAATATTTCGGTAATTGAATAAATATGAAATGGTGTAATTGAAAAGATTAATATTTTGGAGCAAAAACTCATAGAAACCGGAAGATTAGAAGAAGAAGTGGAGAGGTTATATTGTATTGTTATCTCCACCTAATTGACATCTAAGTAATTTAATGTTAATTCCTAACTAAATGCAGTAATTATCTTTTTAAAAAGTAGTTTTTTTTTTAACGAGTAAAAACTACAAAGTAAAATTCTACAGCTATGCAAACTGATTTATTTATTTATTTATTTTTAACATTTTTGGGCCCTTTTCTGGCGTGGGCCCTAGGCGGTCGCACTCGAGGCCTACCCCTCCGGGCCGGGGAGTGGAAGCTTGCCCTTTATTCGGATACTTCCTTTGTTTTTGTTTTTTGTTTTTTTTTTTCACTTGCATCATTTCAACACTATTCACAGTGGCAGATCTCTATTTTGACTCTCATTCTCTTTCTTAAAATTTCTTTTTCCACACAGAAGACTAGTGAGAGTTGACATTACACTTAACAAATATAACATCTTAATTATTTTCTTAATTGAACATTATGACGATCATACACAAGGATCCTGTCAATGGAGGTCATGATGGGAAGCACCACAACTTTCCAAGTATAGAGACTTTTTCCTAAAGGCCTTCAAGAGTAAAACATTTCAAAAGAAAAAAGCATACAACTATATAACCAAAACATCTCATGTCTACAGAAGATAAAGAGGCATGAAATCAAAAACATGCAACCTGACTAGAAAATGTCTATGACAGTTCAAGCTCTTCAAAAAGTCAATTGCCAATATCAGGATTTAAATGGTTAAGATTAGAGAAGCAGTATTGGAGCACAAACAAAGATTGCAGCAAAGAAAGGAAATTTTTTAACAGAACATGGGAGATAGCTAAAAATACCAGCAGATGCAGCGATACTGAAGGTAGCTGGCTGGCCTCTAGCAACTGGATCAGGTGATATTTCAACCCCGTGTACCTTCACTTCATAATCAGTTTTCTTATCTGCAAAGAATTATAGGGTTGTGACTTGTGAGACATGCAATTAAGAAGCAATCTTAAAGCAGAACAACGGATATTTTCTTATTGTAATGAATCCAAGTGTCCTCTCTCTCACAACATATTGTACAGTTATCAACACTTGGGTTTTTATTCTTTAAAGATTTTTACACTCTAACGCCATATTTCATTGCACTATCCAGAGTTCCAGACATTCTTTCAAAGCCCAATTTTTACATTTAGTGTTACAGAGCTGAGGAGGACTTATCCAGCTTGCAAGCACAATATCTAATTTTATCTAAGCATCTCCTCCTATCCAAACTCCAGAAAGTAAAAGCAGAGCTTAAAGCCTGCCGTAAAGACTTCAAGTTTCCTCTGGTATAAAACAACACAATTCAGATAATAAAAAAAATAGAAGGTAGTTAATCCAAATTGTGATGCCATAAGGCCCCCAAGTACCCATAACATATCATATATCATATTCTCTTAATCAGACTATATAATGTTGTTTCATTTAATATTTTCAACAGATTTAACTCAAGTTTAATACTTTAATGAAAGGAGAAAGACAAGAAAGGGAAAGAGAGTTGACAGGTCCACAAGGCTATTGTTACAATCTTGCATGTTGCATGCATATAACATCAGAATAGTTTAGAATTGAATACACATTACACCAAAAAAATACATAAGGATTCAGCAAATTGACAGGTCAAACATACTAAGTGTCCTCAAATATGGTAAATATTCTCTGACATGTAATTGGAAAAACACCTCCATGATTTACCTTACACGAATTATATCCTAAGACCTTTGGTACTAACTTTAAACAATCACCCATTTTCTTTAATTTCCCAAGCAATCTCAGCCACAATACCTAATCCAAACCTAATTACATTTACTCTTAAGTGTGTAATCTCCTCAAACAACAATGATAATCTAAACTCTAAATGAGGGTGTTGTAACCTTCACGTTCTTTACTCTTATTTATTAAAAGCTATGTACTTAATTATTAACGAATAAACAGAAGTCTGTAAGTGTAGTCAACAAGAATTCTTTCATATGATTATACTGCAACCAAAAAAGTACTAGTATCACATATTTCTTGCAATAGTAAAACCTATGCAAGAACAACATTTATGGGTAAGGATTGCATACCGATGGCTTCAATAATTATTTTTAATGAAACAATCGAGTGAGTGTCTCTCTCACAGTCTCACTTATTTGTTTTGGTCAAAATCTATGTGACAGCCTAGTGATTTGCATGTTGTGTACGGCCTATAATAATTTTTGCACCAATTTGTGATAGCAAGTTAGCAACATTCATGAAGATAACTATAAACAGAAAAGCCCATCTCATACAAAGGGACACTTATATGTTAATAAATGACCTGCAGTGAAATTCCCTATTCAAAGAGAACACATTAATCTAAGTTCGAAAATCAAAGGCGTAATTTAGAGTCATACGATATATGCACATAAAGATTTGATAATAAGTGAAATCTATTGAACCCATGATTATTTAGAAACATGACAATAGAAAAATGAAAACCACTAATTTCTTATTAGACCCGATTTTGGTTCAGTTTTAAATTTTAAAAAGACCTGATAACTCTGTACCATCCGAATTCGCTTCCAACACAACCTCATCAACTAATAGATAGGTAAACACTCTAATTACAAATGAGGTAACTTAGTCTGCATTATAGGAAACGAGTAGATATAGAACAATTTATTTGTTACACTCCTATAATTTTCATCTAAATTAAAAATCCAAACCCAATTGAAGTCTGATCCAATTATGATACACAATCTAGTCCAAAAGCAAGTGGATTTACACACCATGTTTAAAATTTCAAAACACCCCTATTAGTCCAGAAATTTCCGAAAGATTTACGATGTAAACTCTATGTATTATCCAATTGTTCCGATCACGGAAATTAATCTATAAAATCCGACAACATAGCAAAAAGAGTGAATTAAATAAATACAACTATCATCCTTACGAATTAATTCAGATGAAGCAAGAAAAAATCATAAAAAATAGGAAAAATCAACAGGAATAAAAAGCAAAAAAGAAGAAAAATTACCACAATATCGAATATCGGTGGCGTGAGCGGAAGGAGAGAGAATGAAAAGTAATAATGAAAGGAGAATAAGTGTGATTGCAGTATAACGCATCATCTTCTGCTTGATTTTTGTTGTTTGTTTTAGTGAGAGAAAGTCAAGTAGAAAGAGTTTGAAATTGAAAGTTGGAAATGGAGATGAAGCAATTGATTATGGAGGGGAGTAATACTGTCAACACTAACCAGGAGAACGGTAGTTGGCGCTTCCCAAGAATCCTTTACCAATATATATGCTCCTTTTCAAATTATTATTATTAACCCGCATCCCGGGACAGGCTTGGCCCGTAGAATTAGGTTAAGTTTGGTGATAGCGTTTGATATAGCGATTAACATTTTTACTAGTCAAAACAATACAAAGAAAAAAAAAAATAAGAATGTTTGGTAAGGTGGCGATTTGAGTAGTGGTTAGGAATAAAAGTTAAGGTTAGGTAGCTTTTCTCAAACGTTAAAACCTTCTTTGACAGTAGTGTTTTAGATAGCGGTTAGCATTTAGAGTCAGTCAAAATAAAACTACGAAAAAGTAAGTATGTTTGGTAAAGTAGCGATTTATATAGTGATTAGCAGTATAGGTAGTGTTTAGGTAGGTTTTGTCAAACATTGACAATATTAGTGTTTGAAAGGTATCGGGTAGCTTAATTGTTTACTTTATAAATATTATGCATATATTTTTACTTTATTTTTAACATTTCAACCCCTATTATTGTCAAACACTCATATTATTAACCGCTATATTGACAGCTAATCTTTACCCTCTACTAATTGACAGCTACTTACTACTCTAACAGCTACCCGGTACTCGAACGCTAAAAGCCACTCGTATGGTTACTGCTAGTTTTGCTAAACAAAACCTAAAAATAATATCGCTTAAGGGCATGTTCTATTCAGCTTAATTTCATTTCAGTTTAGTTCAGTTCAGTCCAATTAATTCACTTCAGCTCAGATCATAATTTTCTTTTCTCATAAATAATTCAGTTCAATTCAGTTCAGTAAATCAAAACAGGCCCTAAAAGTAGCAAATAGTGTTTGTCAATTTTTGGTTACTTTTTAAAACAATTTACCTGGCTCCAATCTTCCACCTAAGAGTTTCTTTGTGTGAAAATGGTTTGTTAACCTTAGTGAACGTGCTGGCCAATACAATTGAACACCCTGCTTGTGCCGGAATTTCGTTTTCAATTAAGGGCATGTTCACATTTAATGAACTAAGCTGAACTGAACTAAACTGATTGGATCTGAACTGAACTAAACTGATTTGAATAGAGATGAAATGGATATTTTATTGAACTGATTGGAGCTGAACTGAATTGAAATTAAGCTGAAGTGAATATGCCCTAAGTTAGTGATTTTGCATCACGACACACCAAATTTATTCCATTGATTATAGTTAGGAAATTTCGGATTTTAACACCATAAAAAGACTGAAAAATGGTTTTTAACGCCTCCAAATTTTTTTTAAAAAAAAAAATTCGTTAAACGGGGTACATAATGACAAGTGTTACCTAGCTACCCCAGCCCCACCACTGCCACCTTCTTCTCCACCTTCACCCAACACAGCTGTCGGCACATCCCCACCTCCTCCCTTACCCAACCTACCTGAACCCTCCCCCTCTCTATCCCGCAGCCCTAAAATAGAATAAGTTAAGTGATTTAAAATCAAATTTGTTAACAAAATTTTGGTGTTAAAAACCATTTTTTTTTCCCAAAATTTCCTTGATTATATGATAGAGTATAAAACATATTCTTGGGGCTCAACCATTAACTTAAGCTTTTGGTTGAGATCCAGGAGATGTTTTATACTCTATCTATCATATAAGATCAATTTTTCATCTTACTGTTTACTTTTTTTTCCGTAGCCTTGAAAACATATTATCATACAACAAGTTCAACTAATTTTGAGGTATATATGTTGATCTTGATCTATTTTCATTTTAATGATGCGTGTGATGTGTTTTGTTTGCGAAAAGAAGTTGAGGGCAATGAAGTTTCTGAATTACCACATAGCCATTTGCAGAAGAAAATGATGAAGCTATTAAGAATGCATGGAGTGATCTTTAGATATTTCAAGTAATTAAGCAATTCCTTTAATTAGTTAACTAGAAGCTAGAATGAAAGAGTTGGTTATGCCTTATGGAGGGGATGAGTTTAAGAAGTATTTTGTTATGCATGCACTTGATAATCAGCTTGTTCCTATTGCGAATGGTATAGTATGAGGTTTGTTAAAGTGGTGGAGTTTAATTATTTTTAATTTTGTTAGGTTACCGTAACCGTAATCGTTTAAAAGACGTGAAAGGAAGTATTTTCGATCATTTTTTTTTGTCAATTTTAACCTCAAATTGGGATCCAAAGAGCCAAAATGCCCATGTAAACCTATAAAAAACATGTTTGATGCACGAAAATCGAAGAATTTTTTTAAACCGTCAGATTTAACGGTTTTCTTGATGGTAGGTGGTAAAAACAATTTTTAGAAAAAAAATTTTGGTAGTAAAATAAAACTTTTAAAAGTTTTGGTGGTAAAAAACCAATTTTTTGATTTTTTTTGTTGGTAAAAGTCAAAAAATTCAAATTTGAATTACTTTTTCAAAAAATATAAGAGCATCTCCAATGGTTAGTTTTAGGGACTTGCTTGCAATATTTAAGAATTACATATTTGTAGCTCTACCATGAATAAAGAAAGCAAGCTGCTTTCAAGCAGGCCCTGCTCAAACAAGCAGTGTAGCTTGAATTTTTTTTTCAAATTTTTTTCTATAAAAATTAATTTAATTTTGGAAATATTGACTTAAAATAAATAAAAAAAAAAAAACTTGAGTGAGAGATACTACGTATATATGCAGCAGATTGATCTATACTCCATGTTCCCAACACTTTACATTTTATCCAATTCTTATCTTTTTTTTTATTAATTTTTTTTTTATTTTTAATTTTAACATGATGTCTTCATAGCAAGATTCATATATATCATACATTGATTTTAATATTAATATTACACATATATACTTCCTATCTTCTATATATATTTAGTTCAACTACCATATTTTAAAAAAAATAAATAAATCATATTTAAATAAACAAAAGTTAAATAGTTTAACGTATTTATTAAAAAAAATATACATTCGGTGTGTTATATAACATGATTTATATGCATTAGATTAAAACCTTGTATTAAATTAGTATTGTATTGTTTTCCTATCTAATATGTGAAAAAAAGACATACGTAGTATAATATTTAATAAATTATATAATAATTTAATATTATAAAATAAATTATGTTAGAAAAAAAAGGCTTATACAAGCTACAAAGCAATGTAGCTTACTGTTGGTGCAACTTGTAGCCTAAATTCATTGTTGCTTGAAATTATGATGTGGCAAGGTAAGCTACGAGGTGTTATAGCTTACCATTGGAGATGCTCTAACTATATAAGACATATTAAATCATTTCGCATGATAACAATTTTATTTCAACACAAAGTTTTATATGTGGCTGACCCCACCGTACGGCCAGCCATAATATAGTTTTTTTTATTATTATATTTTAATTCTTCTTCTCTCTCTTCACTATCTCCTCTTTCTCTCTCCTCTTTTAATTTATTGTTCTCCAGTTAGCCACCCATATCACCCCCTTCACCAAGCTATCTCCTCTTTCTCTCTCCTCCTTTCTCCAAAAAGGGCAACATACTTGCAAAACAAACCACCTACAATTACAAAGGAAGAACGCATGTCCTCCACCAACGCGTTGTTGTACTCCGTGAGCTCCTCGTACTCCATCGCTGGAAAACAAATTGAAGATTTTTAAGGCCAAATTCGGTCATACAAACTCTAGATATAGAGTTTTCATGGTCCAATATGGCCTTTTTAGCCATATTTGAAGTGAAATTCTAAGTCATTATTAATTTTAAAAGTATTTGTTCGATTTAATTTTTTTTTTTTAACGATTTGGTTGTGGGTTCGGTTAGATCTATGTTTGTTTGTGGGTTTGGTGTATGGTGGTGGTGGTGGTGGTGGCATGGCGTATTGGGGATGGGGCTAGTGGCGTTTTGGGGGTGGTGGTGGGTCAAGGGTTACTAGATCGGGGGTTACTTAAGGGTACGGTCAGGTTGGTGGGGTTATTTTGTTATTTGCTGATTTGGCACCTTGCCGCATGGTGCGGCTACCAGAAACGCACTGTTATTTCAATCCCCTAGTTAATTGGATAAAGGTTATTTTTAGCAAGTACTAATTTATTTGTTAGATTCAATTTCTAAATTGAATGTAAGATTGATTAAAATCCCCATGCCAATCTAATATATATATATATATATATATATATATATATATATATATATAAAGGGGAGTTTTTCCCCGAGTTTTTAGAGAGCCACGTAGGATTTATTTTTCTTAGCGCGCATGTAGGATTATGAATTTAAGTTGTAGCCAATTAAATAAGAGATTATTAATTTATTTTACAATTAAATAATTCAAATGCCACGTTAGCAAAATTGACGAATGAAACTTTAAAGTTTAAATTAATTAAATATAAAATATTATCTTTTGAGATTATAAATTTTATCTAATATTTTTAAAAATATTGACGAATGAAACTTTAAAGTTTAAATTGATTAAATATAAAATATTATCTTTTGAGATTAGAAATTTTATCTAATATTTTTAAAAAATATTGACGAATGAAACTTTAAAGTTTAAATTGATTAAATATAAAATATTATCTTTTGAGATTAGAAATTTTATCTAATATTTTAAAGCTAATATAATACGTAGTAACAAAAATCACATAAATATGAAAAATATTTTTTTTTTTAAAATACTAACAAACCGTGCATCGTACGGGCTTCATCTAGTTATTCATATACGAATGAATTATCAAGCTCTTAAAGTTAAATTAAATTTCAATTATCCCGAGCTTGATTGCTCGAGTTAATTCTAAATCTATACTAATCCCTACCTTATAAAAAGTAAAAACTTGCTCTTATGAATAGTGCACGGACATTTATACCCCCCAAAATGTTTATTTACCTTCTAACCCCCATTTATAAAAACTCTCAAAATGTTTATTCACCTTCTTACCCCCATTTTTAATTTTGTAATTTTTCTTACAATTTTTCCCAACAAATTGTCCGTTCATTTTCTTACCCGAAACTTGCTCTTATGAATAGTGCACGGACATTTATACCCCTCAAAATGTTTATTTACCTTCTAACCCCCATTTATAAAAACCCTCAAAATGTTTATTCACCT